CGCCAAACAAATCAAAGTAATTACTAATTAATAAAAGAGTCTATATCTCTCTCATGCTTGAGAGTCAAATGCCATGACGATGATAGGGAGCAATTGCATACGACGGCTCTCGCACTATACCTCAACCTATCGCGGTTCCGGTTCAAGTCTTAGTTAATTAAGAGTACATCCTTAATTACTGACTACAAACTATATATGATCGCTATTTATATTCTTGTATTGATCGCCATCATATATATATATATATATATATATATATATATATAAATATCTATTGCAACCAAGTGGAAATATTCAATTCCACTATGAATCGAAAACATAATACATTAGTATTCACTAATTGTATAATACATAAATGTCATTTCAGATAAGGAACAATGTCTATACAATCCAAATAAGAATTTGCTATGACAGCGTATACAAATCCCAACAATTTACCCAAAAGAGCCTTATTAATCCAAAATTGCCTAAGTGAATCGGCCTGCAAAAGTGCTCCCAACGGACAAGTTCGTAGTGAACTCCTTCCCCAAACCACCCCAAAGAAAGTTCTGCTATAGCCTCTCTATCCTCGTGGCCACAAAGGAAGGAATCTGCAAAATGGAGGGAAAATAGGTAGGAAGGCTCAATAACGTACTCTTCAAGAGGCTAATCTTCCCACCCTTCGAAAGATATTGTTGCTTCCACCCCACCAACCTCTTCTCAACCCTCTCAACCAATAGATTCCCAACCACCTACAATCCTCGATGATGTCCCTAGAGGCAGTCCTAAGCATGAATTGGGGAAGTGACCAACACCACATCCCAGAGAATCTGCCAAAATGGAGATATCCGCAACTTCTCGCATCGGAACCAACACACTTTTCCCGACATTGACTTTCATGCTTGAGACAACCTAAAAGCATACCAGGACACAACACAAATGCCTTATTTGAGACTCATCCGCATCACAAAGCATTAAGGTATCGTCAACAAATAATAAGTGGGAGATCTCCAACTGATTGGATGGGTCTCTACCCACCCTAAAGCCTCTAATAAATCCCAAATTGACTGCCCTCCTCATCAACCTGCGGAGAGCCTCCATCACAATGATGAACAAAAAGGGAAAGCGGGTCTCCCTATCTCAAGCCATGCGAACTCCTGAAGAAACCAGTCACATCACCGTTCACTAGAACTGAGACCCTTGCTGAGGAAATCTAAAACTAAATCCATCTCCTCCAAGTCTCCTTAAACCCCATCCTTTCCAACATGTAAAGCAAGAAACTCTAGCTCACATGGTCATAGGCCTTCTCGATATCAAGCTTGCACAGGGCCCTTGGAATCTCACTCCTCAAGCTGGCATCCACACACTCACCGACAATAAGAGCCAAATCCAAAATCTGTCGACCCCCCCACAAAGGCATTCTTGGATTCTGAGATAATCACATCCATGACACTCCTCCATCTCAAGGCTAGAACCTTGGCTATTAGTTTGTAAATACAACCCACCAAACTAATAGGTCTAAAGTCCCCAACATCTGAAGTTCCCCCCGTTCTTAGGGATAAGGGCAATAAGCGAGCATTTAAACTTTTTTTCAAACCGGCCTTGAGAATGAAAAGAATGAAATGTGTCCTCTTCTCCCTTAACCCTCTCCCAATGATGAAGAAGCAAGTGCAAAGAAAATCCATCCGGTCTCGGAGCTGTCACCATCGCAACTTTTCAGTGTTGTGAGCACTTCCTCTTCGCTAAACGCTCGCTCTAAAGCACCACTATCTGCCTTTGAAATCGAGTCAAAATCCCACCCTCCCAACAAAGGTCTCCAACTATAACTCTTTGAAAACAAGCTCTGATAGAATGAGGTCACACAGCTACACACATCCTCCTCCCTACAAAGCTTCACTCCATCAAAGCGTATCCTCCCAATATGATTTCCCATTCGATGAGCATTAGTTGTCCTATGAAGAACCTCGTTTTCTTGTCTCCCTCCTTGAGCCACAAATCCTGAGATATCTGATGCCATAAGATCTTCTCCGAAATAGGAATCTCTGCAATCTGCTCCTGATGCTGCTCCCTCCTATGCCTCTTCGAATCCTCTAGGCCCCCCAATCCCTCTCACCAGTCAATCTGGGCAATATCTGACAAGGCCCTCTTCTTTTTCCATTTCAAGTTCCTAATCACCTCTTTGTTCCACCTCTTGATATCTCCCTTTAGCAACATAAGTTTGTTAGCCAGATAAAGCTTGGAGTGCCACTCACTCTATACCCCTCCCACCAGGCCCGCACTCTCTCCTTAAAGCCTAAGCTTGAAACCACATATTCTTGAACCTGAAAGAAGAACTCTCCCTCCGCAAGCCTCCCACAATCCAACACTAATGAAATGTGATCTGAAGTGATTCTAGCCAACTCCACCTGAATCACATCCGGAAACTTCTCCTCTCAATCATCAGAGATGAAGAATCTATCAAATCGAGACATGGTAGGGTGCCTGCCACAGAGAATTGCTCTATATTCGATGTCCACCTCCCTCCCCTAAACCTCTCAAACGGAGACCGATCCACATTGAAATTGCCACCCATACCATATGTATATATATTAATATATATATGTACAGGTATTGTGGTTACTAATTACTGCATGGATTTCAAAACTAAAAAGTTAATTATTCTCATGTATCCATCCATACCACTAACCTCATGTCAATTTGTAAAGTACTGAAGACAAAATCCAATTATAATTTGTAAATAAATTATTTGTTTACTCAAATTGCTTAGGTTCTAAATGGTACTTGACCATAGTAATTGTTGAAGATAAGATGGACCTTATTAGGTTGGTCTCCTCCTTCTCTAACTATTCTTTCTTTAACTTCATTCTTTGCCTACAATTGTACAGAATAGGGTAAAACCCTAGTTAGAATTGTTCTTCATTTTTATACTATTCACACTTGTTTGTTTATTCGTTTAGTACGCTTTTAGTTTATCCCAACAAGGAATAGTATACTAATCCCAAATATTAATATAATAATATTACCGTATCACTTTTTACAAAGAATCTCATTATTGGGTTGGAGAGGATAGGGGGAGTGTGGCTTACAGATTGGCTCTACTCCCTAGCTTGTCGGTAGTTTGCGATGTATTTCACGTGTCTATGTTGAGACACTTTGAGGAAGTGTCTGAGAGTTGATTTATAGGTGATCAATAAGGACATGGTGGAGCTACATCCGGATGTGTTGTATATTGAGGTGTCTGAACGCATTCTTGTAGGATGGTGAAACAACTGCGACGCAAGGAAATAGCCCTAATGAAGGTATTGTGGAGCAACCATAGGGAGGACGAAGCCTCTTGAAAAATCAAGACTTAGATGAGGGAGAAATATTTGCGTTTGTTTGAACCAAGTACGCAAATTTCTAGGACAAAATTTATTTTAAGGAGGGTTGAATATTATGACTCTAAATTTAATTAAGTAAATGAGATTCTTTGTAAAGGGTGGTATGGTAATTTATTGTGTTGATATTTGGGATTAGTCTACTACTTCTTGTCAGGATATAGTACTCTAAAAGCATACTAAATGAGTAACTAAACAAGTGGATAAGATAAATGACTAAGAGTGGAAAACAATTGTAACTAGGGTTTTACCCTATTCTCTACAATTGTAGGCAAAGAAAGAGGTTGAAGGAGGAAAGAAGAATTGGAGTAGGAGGAGACGAGCCTAACAAGGAAATTGTGATCTAGTGTTGGTAAGTAGTATTCTATCTTATCTTCAATAATTACTATGGTGTAGTACCATTTAGAATCTGAGTAATTTGAGTGAACAAATAATTTATTTACATAATTTTGTGACTTTATAATTGGTCTTGGTCTTCACCACTTCTTAATTGGTTTGAATTTGAGCTTTCCCATTGAGATTGAGAAATTCTTTATGTAAACCTACCTTCGAAGCGGAGGTGAGGAATAAACCGATTATTTTTATTGAAAGGTAGACTCAGGTGCAAATTGGCATGAGGTTATGAATGGATACATGAGAATAGTTAATTTTTTGTTTCGAAATCCATGTAGTAATCAGTAACCGCAGTACCTGTGTATAAATACATATATATATATATGTATATATGTCTTATAAATGAACATGAGTGAAATCAGAAGTAGTAGATAAGGATTGTGGTTTGATTACTTATAAATAATGAATTGTTTGTTGTTTACATGATAATGATGATTGGGAAGGAGTTGTATTGTGTGTAATGGCATGAATTTGTGGTTATAATAGTTGATTTGAAAGGAAAGATGGTTTAATATATAGTACACCCTTGAACTGTTCTTGTGTGGGAATGGCTAGAGTGGTCACATATTTGAATGATTGCGATATGTATAGATAGCTTAGTTCACGGTGGTATGATTTATGTAAAATCTAAGTGGATTGGGTCTGTTGAGTGGCCGCGTTACGGATTGGAACAACATGTTGCGAAAGAGGGAAGCTGAGCCTTGTTACTGGGTTTGTTCGAGGGAAGGAGAAGATGACCCTGCTGATCGCAACACCTATGCGCAGGGTTGGCGTGTGGGGGCACGTGCGATGGGCTAGGGTGCTTTTTTGGGCCGTGGTTTGGGGCCCAGTGGACCCCACTTGCCAAGCCCAAAAACTAGGCCGAATTTTGGCCCTACCAGATTTATATATATATATATAAAATATTTTCATGTATTTTTAAATGATGAAAAATAAAATTATATAGGAACCATGAGCACCGAGAGGAGATCATGTTGAGTGGACAATATCTACACGATGTGGGCGAATCGTGATATGCATGAACTCTTCCCTCTCACATGAAAATCAACCAATTTTTTGGTTGATTTGGGCATTATTGGAAGTGGAAAGCTGATGCTTTGTGCTTAGTTATTCTCATGTTTATATTCATAATTTGTATAAATGCTTCATGAATGTGCTTAGTTATTTTCATTCATCTCAATTGCTCTTAGAGTCAATTTACATTTATCTTGTGAATGGAAGTTGTAATAGTCCTATGGGTTTCTTGGATAGGACCTGAACCAATGGATATTTCTACTACCTTGACGTCTCAGGCTTGTGAAATTCCTAGTTCTGATGTGATAGTTTTGAGAGGACATACTTCTGAGGTTCGATCATGTCCACTCTTTGTGTATTCACAAGTTCGTTTTTTTTCCTAGTACATCTGCTGTAACATGCCATTTTTCGTTGTTCTTTGTAGGTTTGTGCTTGCGCATGGAGTCCAACAGGTTCACTTCTTGCTTCTGGGTGGGTTCTTGTTTCTAAAGATATGTTTCTATGCAGATCTGCATCTCTTAATCATAATTTTAAATCTGCTCCTTTCTGCTTTTGTTCCCACTTGTTCAGAACTGTTTTCTTATTGCAGCTTTTATTAAGTATTAGTGGTTTACACTTGGGGACTATAACTGCAGCTCTTCGAAGAACAAAACTATATACTTGAGGTTAACAGTTGGGTCCATTTAACTGGTGCCCGGACTTTCTGTGTAGGCACAGAAGGTTACATAGGTCAAAAATGTTAGGTGTCCCTTCAGGCACCAAGGGAACATATTAACCCACGATTGGAGTTTTATAGACCTGGGTGAAACTATTTAGGGCGAAGAAGTTATGGTATAAATGTGGGTCATCGCCCAAGCAGGACTGATGGGGTTGAGTATAATGACCAAGAGACAGGGTTCGATGACCCTTGCTTGGATAAGCTCAGTCAGTCTGGAACTAATGAAGTGAAATAACCCAGCAGTGTTGGGCACTAGCCTTAATTACTGATTTGGTCAATGCTGTGAGGTCACTCTGAACCACAATGGAGGGTGCGGGAAGGAGCAGAGCAGAAATTAGGTAATGAAGAGAGAGAGGAGCTGAACTTGCAGGCACAGCTCTAGCAACCAGATTACCAGATCAGTCTTGCTCCCTCTGCGCTAACTGCTAAGAGGGAGCTGGGGTCCTAGGACTCAACTTCAATGGCATATCCAAAGGGGTGGAGAATATGGGTTATGGATCAGCAAATGTGGAGCTTGGGAAAGGATGCTGCTAGAACTCCTGATGATACAGCGGTATCTACAGAATTTGATGAAAGGGAATCCTTGATGGAAAGCACTACAGGTGTAACCATTGACTAATTTGTGTTGGCCCGAGATCATGAGGATCGTCTATTAGGATGATTCCAGGGCATTGTTTGTTGTTAGCTATGGTTATGCTATCGGGAGAGTTCTTAAAAAGTGTTAATAGAAGTAAGGAAGAAGCCAAAGAGCGAAAAGAAGTTGTTTTGGGTTTTGGCTTACTCAAACCGAGAGCCAAGAGCTATATCTATATACAAGAATAGGGTACCAAAAAAAGAAACCAAATCAAAGAAAAACAGCTTATATGCCAAAATCTACGTGATCCCATGATAATAGGGATCTTACATAAAACACCTAATAAAAGGCTGACAACAACTAATAAAAATAATAATAATACAGATATTTCAACACTCCCCCTCAAGTTAGATTGAAGATATCAATCAAGCCCAACTTGGTAATCGAGGAATGAAGCAAAGATGAACCAACGGATTTGGTGAACACATCTGCCGATTGATTAGAGGACCGAACAAGGCACGACTTGATAATTCCCGAACGAACCTTCTCTCTGATAAAATGAATGTCCACTTCTACATGTTTAGTCCTCTCATGAAGAACAGAATCTGAAGCAAGCATGATGGCTGGCTTATTATCACAAAACAAGTCTAAGGACTGTTTTTCACTTAGAACTAGCTCCTCCAAGAAAGATCGAAGCCAGAGAATCTCATAAGTACCCTAGGCCATGGCACGATACTCGGCCTCTGTTGAAGATCTCGAAATTGTAGGTTGCTTCTTACTTTTCCAGGATATAAGATGATCTCCATAGAAAGTACAGAAGCCAGATGTGGAACGCCAGTCAGTCTTGGAAGCCCAACATGCCTGCTAGAAGAATAGAATAATCCAAGTCCATGACAAGACTTAAGATATCGAAGAATATGATATACCGCATCCATATGAGCTGTATGAGGAGCATGCATAAATTGACTCACAACACTAACCGCAAAAGCCAAACCAGGACGGGTGTTGGTAAGATAAATTAATCTTCCTACCAAGCACTGATGCTGTAAGGGATCAGAAAGGAGATCTCCAGACTCAGCCGAGATCTTCATATTGGGATCCATAGGAGTGGAAGCAGGTTTACACCCATGCATACCCGTGTCTCGAAGAAGATCCAAGACATAGTTCCTTTGCGATAAAGAGATACCCTGCTTAGATTTAGCAACCTCAATTTTTAAGAAATATCTGAGCTGCCCAAGGTCTTTCACATAAAAAGCTTTAGCCAATTGAAGCTTTAGTTGAGCAATACCAGGGATGTCATTGCCAGTAATGATGATATCATCAACATAGACAAGAAAAATGATACATCGACCAGTGGAGGATCCCTAAAGTAGCATAGGCCATCGTGCTCGTATCCCTTGCCAAAAATCCTCTTCGAACATAGGTCCTGTAAAACACAGTTATGAGGAAAGAAAATCATTGCACAGTTTAGTGATTTGGCAAGTTTGCTAACAGATAGAAGATTAAATGCAAATTTAGGAACACGAAGAACATATGTCAAAATAATATTAGGAGATAGATGAACATATCATTTACTACGAATGACAGAGGTAACGGGAGTAAAAAATAATGACAACTCACTAGTCATGTGATCATTGGCTCCGGAATCTAGAACCCAAGTAGGTTTTCCCGCTTTAACATGAAAAACAGGAGTGCCTGTAGCTATAGTAGCCGTGGGAATAGAAGAGTCAGCCTTGGTAGATAAATCTCCGAACTGCTCTTGAAGCTGACCAATCTGGGATTGTAACTGATTGAAGTCTTGAAAAGATGGTCTGGGAGGAGTTAAAGTAGGAGGGACAACAATCTATGGAGTAGTGTTCCCTGCGGCAGTGCAGCCACGGCCAGGAGAACGATTGAGAGAGAATTTCTTCTTTAGGTCGGGATGAAGCTTCAAGCAACGATCCTTTACATGACCCGTGGCTCCACAATGTTGACAAATTACCTTTCCCTCTGAAAGTCTAGAATTAGCAGTAAGAGCCATCTGATCAACTGGAGTCTTTGGTAATGCTATTGGCGGAGAGATCTGACGTCTGTGCTCCTCATGGTCAACAGTAGCGAAGGCATCATATAAATCAGGCATAAGCAAGGTGTTTATGATTTGAGTTCTAAGAGTATCATACTTAGATCGTAAACCTATCAAAAACTGGTAGGTATGCTGGCGGTCCAGCTCTTGACCAAAAGAGTTGCAGCTTCTTCAGAGAAATCGGAGAGAGGTTCATATTGTGCTAATTTTTCCTACCTAGACTGGAGGCATAGTTATTAAAGGCCCAAGGCGCTAGAGGTCCTTTGGAGCCTAGGCGCGAGGCGCACGGCGAGGCGCGCGCCTAAGTGAAGTGAGGCGCACAATTGAAAATTTAAGCCACCATAATAACATTCATATCTCATAAGTCATATCAATATTTTAAAAATTAATATCAAATATAAAAAAAGTAAATCCATCAACTATACAAGCATCCAATAACCATAAAAGAGAGCACAAATTTGTTTTCTTGAAAGGCAAAACAAAATGTGATTTTTGAATGGCAAAACAAAGCACAAAAAGAAATAAATATGTTAACAAAAAAAAAAAAAAAATTGTTAACAAGAAAAAAAGAAGAAAAAACAGAGCAAAAAAAAGAAGACAGAGAGATGAGAGAACTAGACGAAGAGAGAGATGTAAACAAAGATAAGAAGAGAGGAGAGATCTAGAGGAGAAGAGAGAGAAAAAGAAAAGAAAAGAAAGAACTGACGTGGTTTCGTTGTTCATTTCTGCAACTAGGGCTTCGTCTTCGTCTTACAATCTCATTCTATCGTTGTTCGTTTAACACTTTGACTCTTGGGCTTTCTTATTTTTTTATTCTTTTGAACAAATGTTCAAAGTTCCTTATATCGTATGATTGAGCTTTCTTTTTTTGTTTATTAAGTTGCCAAAAGTACCTTTTTTGGCTTAAGAAATAGAATAATCGTATTTTTTTAAACAAATATCAGTGAGGCACGTCTAGGTGCACCTCACAAACAGGACGAGGCGCAACCGAGGCGCTCGCCTAGTAAACATCAGTGAGCCTGGAATGACAACAGGCGCTAAACCTGAGTCTCGAGCCTAGGCGCGCCTTTAACAACATTGACTAGAGGTACCCAAAATACTCTGATACTGACAGCTTGAGTGTCTCTTGAGATGCATGAGCAATCTCCTCATAGAGTTCAAACACACGAGTGTCATTGCGGGAATGAGCATACATCTTGTTAAGGGCTTGCCACAGACGAAAAATGGAAGTGTGAAACATGAACATATCATAGATACGCTTCTCCATTGAGTTGAAGATCCAACCCAGAATGGTGCACCTGTCCATGTCCCATGTAATATATTTAGTATCCATCTTTTCCGGTTCCTTGATTAGACCCAAAAGCTTACCGGTTTTCCCTTTCCCTCTAATATAGAGTTGAAGAGAATGGGACCAAGATACGAAGTTGCGCCCATTCAAGAGCACACTAGTAACCCGCTGTGCCGGAGTATGATGTGCGGAAGATAAAGTATGCTGGACCAAGTATAAAGTGTCCTTTTGGCTACTAGAATCAATCATTGTACCAAAATAAGGCCGGTCCACACGTCAAAGCAGGAGGAAAGATAAAAAAAACAAGGCTGAAAAAATTGGTGCTTTCCTCCTAATATGCTGTTGAACAAACATCGGCAGTCCACAAAGAAAAGAAAAATACCAGAAGGACCCTTAGGTCATAAAAAAACTAAGGGAATTCTCCTAAAAAAAGAGTCAAAAAAGAGGGTTACCCGATGGGTTTGGCGCAAGGGCTGGGAAGAGATGGAGGTGTGCCGGAGGTGAGGGAAAATGGAGAGAGGGAGAAAGGAGGTGGCGGCGTTGGGGAGGTGAAGGTTTTTGTTCTATGCTCTGATACCAAAAAGAAATTGTTTTGGGTTTTGGCGTACTCAAATAGAAAGCAAAGAGCCATATTTATATACAAGAATATGGTACAAAGAAAGGAACCCAAATAAAAGAAAAATAGGAAATATGCCAAAAAATCTACGTGATCCCATGATTATGGGGATCTTATCTACGTGATCCCATGATAATAGGGATTTTACATAAAACACCTAATAAAAGACTGAAAACAACTAATAAAAAAAAAAATAATAATAATAATACAGATATTTCAACAAAGTGCAAAGGTGTTAGAACAGGTTTTGTCTAAAATAGGTGTGAGAACTTTTGTGGTGTTCTGGGCCGCGTCCCTCTTTGGGCAGCATCAATGAATACCTCAAAAAAAAAAAAAAAAAAAAAAAAAAAACCTTTTTTGTCTTGAATTGTTTAGGGTCTAAATGATCTGGATAGAAGATCCACTGGGATGGGTTCCATTTGAACGTAGTTTCTGAGTATTATCCTAATTATTGAGTTCTGTAATTTGATGGATCTTCCTTCAAGAGGGTATAGGTACACATGGGTGAAAAATTGAGTCTTGACAAATTAGTGGTCTCTGCAGATTGAGAATGGAGATTCTTATATTTACCTTAGCCTTAGTAGCCGAAGATCTGAAGGTCTCAAAGCATATGCCATTGTTGTTGGATTGTGGAGGGCCCAAGGAGGATGGGGTCTTTCAGATTTCAGAATGTTGACATTAGGAAGAATGGTTTGGAGTGTGTTTTAAGGGTTGATAAGAGGTTGTAGGTTTTTCAGGATCTTCGAGTTATTCTTTGCTCACAAGGGGAAATGTTTAAGCAAGACTCGAGAATATGAACAACAAAAATTTCTAAATTATTGGTTAAAGAATATTAATATGATGAATGATCTTAACGGTTTGGATAGAAAAGAGATTTCTGAAGCTCTAAATAGGGTTGAAAGCATTAGGAGGGAGGAAAGCAAGCTGGGAGGATTGTTAATATGGGAGATGTGATGTTGTGGCCCGAATTTGGTGTCGGGTCGTGTCACGACCCACTTACGACCCGACGACGAGGAAAACTTTTGACCTGTTTTTTGCTTATGGACTGTGGACCCTAATTAGTCACTCATAGCCCGATATATAAGGGCGCTTAGGGTTTGGAGTTGTGTAAGAGAGAAATTCTGAAATTCGTATAGAAACAGAGTGGGGTTGAAACTTATAATCTCCGGTTTTACACATAGTGAAAACTTTCACCAGATCCCAACCGTGGACGTAGGTTGTTGCCGAACCCTGTTTAAATCCCTGTGTTCTTTGCTTGGTGTGTTTACTTTTCTGTCGTGATTCTTGGTTTTATCTTGGGTTCGTTGCGTTTGTCATAATGGAAAAGATTAGTTGGATGGAAAAGGGTTGGAAAAGTCTAGGAAGCTATGGTTTGAGGAAGGGACTCATCCAAGACCAAGTCCGATATTCACCGAGACATTAGTGAAAATTGGAATTGCATGAGTCTCGGCCAAGTCCCTAAGGAATTGGCAGTGTCTATTCTGTGTCCCTATGGACTCGTCCGTGTCAGCACATCTGATGGCCTGCGGGGCCTAGAAGATTTCACTACCGTGATAACTGATTCCTTTACATTACGCCCAATACAGCCCCACATCCATTACGCCATGTGCATATATTGATTTTTATATTTTGTCTAAGCATTTTTATGTTTAATAGTAGTTTATGTACGCATAATTTTAATGATTTCTATGTTCTTATATTTGTTCCATTTTTTGAATATTAATGTAGAAAAATGGTGATGACTTTAGCCTGGCAAATCAATTTTTTTCGTTGGCTAGGCGAAGTATGAATTATCACATTATGCATGTTTCTTTGATGCCATATGCAAGTATATATGATGTCATTATCCTGTAATTTAAGAGCTGTTTGCTATGGCATGTTTATATCATACTGCCGGCTAGCCTGTAGAGGTCTCTTTTTAGTCCTTGAACCTGAAATTTGTTCATGTTGCTCATATCTAGATCTGGAGATTCAACAGCTCGGATTTGGACGATTCCGGATGGCACCAGTAGATCTAGTTTGCAAAATGGTCCTTTAAATGTGGCGGTGCTGAAACATGTTAAGGGTAAAACAAACGAGAAAAGCAAAGATGTCACAACACTTGATTGGAATGTGAGTGCTGTTACTATATTCTGGCTTGCATTCATGCCATTTCTTGATCTCTCTTCATGTTATTCTCCTACTGAACCTGGTGTCAAATTTCTCGATTCTGTCGAATTTGATGTTTAGTAGTTTGTATTTGTGGGTATATATTGAAAAAGTGAAACCCTATTAGTTCGTCCCTCTCCTCTTGTGCTGCCAAAGCAGCTGTAGGAAATATAACTGGTTAAGTAAGACGAAAAGGACTTTCTAAACTACAGAACAACAAATCTTGCGGTTCCCGCGGGCCTTGTGTTTTTGTGGTATTCATCGTGCTTCCTGACAGACTTCCAACTTTAAGGTTGAAACTTTTAGCCATCGAGTGTTCGGTTGGAATCTAATGGGGGTAAGTTTAAGTGTCTACTTTACATGGACTCAGCAATGTGCTTTGGTTTTAGGTTTGTATCTAAGTTTCAAATTGGCTGCACATACCCAAATACAAGGACATGGGGACATGCTAAATATTCATATTATTTAATATTCTTCTAGAGTAAAATAATGTTTTTCTCTCACATAGAGTGTTCTTTACTACTTTTGAAGTAATAATGTAAACAAAGGAGCATAATAAGATATTTTAATATACAATCATTTAATATATTTCAACTATTGGATTTGCTTATTAGGTGCATTTCCAACCAGAAATATGAGACACGTATCCTATACCCATATCTTTGTGTCATGTGTCTGACATGGTAGTTCACTCATTTTCAAACCAGAACTGGGTTGGTTTGGATTGATTTGTTTTTTTGTAAAAAGATTATTATTAATTAAAAAACAATTATAACATATTATACAATTATATTATATGTAATATCTTACATGGATATTCATATGGGATTAAGGCAAGGATGATGATGATGATGATATATGTAATATGACTTTATTTATTATTTATACAAACCCCTGTAATTAAGCCTAATGGGATAATAACAAATGCTGCAAATTTAAATTCAGTAGGGCTCAATTCCAAGGCCATCTGGAGCCCATTAAAAGTGAGGGGATAGAGGGGTGGGCCGAACTCCTTTGTTGGTCATTGTAATTGCTAAATCAGAACAGATTTATGTTTCCTTCAGAAATCAACCAAATATACCAAGTTTGCCATATGGGGGTTGTTCCAAACCTAATTGGACTTCTGCTGGAGTTATAATGGGGATGACAATTTTGTGGGTCTGGTGAATGTGAATGGGGAATGGTGGTGCTGGATTGTTGTTATTAGTAAAGGAAGGTTGGTGGTGGCGGCAGCAGAGTTAGTGGTTATGATCTGGTACAGTGATATTGGCGTATGTTTGGTGGCGCTGATGATGATAAGATGACGATGAAGTTGATGGTTCCTAACTTCCTCTGATTTCTGTTTGATATTTTTCTTTTCAGAATCGTTAATTATTGTTGCCTGCTATGTGCAGGGGGAAGGAACTCTACTTGCAACAGGTTCTTATGATGGGCAAGCTAGAATTTGGAGCACTAATGGTAAGCTGTTATAGACTTCTAGCAACCCTTGGTCAACGTTTTTTATTTGTAACTGCTATAACATTAAGTACAGGGTTTAATATTATCTACAGAGCTGTGCAACGTGTTTATCTTGTTTCTTGTATCCTTTGTGATGTCTAAAGTGCTGAAATGTATTAAGTTAGAGAACCAATATGCATATCTGTAGTTTGTATCAAGTGCTTGTGATATTCCTTAATGTAAATTATCAAAAACTTATTTTACCTTTGCTTGCTTCTCATTTTCATATATTCGCATTGAAAGAGTTGTTGAATAGTTTTTCATTTTTGATTTATGTTCGAGCTCTCTATGCCACGTACTGCGATACTGTTATCCACTTTTATCCTCCTGCGAGCTTTCTTGTGACTTTGTTTGATAACTAAACTCTCTGAATAAATTAGTGCATTTGATATCTTAATTATGATATCATTTAAAAAAAGTAAGCTCCAATTAAAACGAGTGAAAATTTAAGTGAAAAAGACGTCACTTATCACTGAATAGTGAACACTTAAAAGTTTTAAAAGAGGTTTTCAAGTTACAATTACAACTTACAAATTCAGTACTTAAAATTCAGCTCTTACATTGTTCAGTATTTAATTTTCAGGTTTTATCAAACAGCACCCAATTTTCTTAATAGGTGGATGTCTATTTAATTCATATTCCAGAACTTGGCTGACTTTTAATGCAGTTGCTAACTTAAATAGTTAAAAGGTATGAAAGGGATAAATGGGGCAGAAGCCAGAAGGTAATATTTTCATATGATAAGCCAACTGAGAGTCATGATCATCATGGTTTAACTAGGTCTGACTTGAATTTAACTGAGGGAGCAGCACTCGTTTCCAAATGATTGTCATAAGAGCCTTGATTAAGAGGCCGAAAGCCGAACCCCCCTTCAACTTTCGTGCTCCAAACAATTTTCCTTGTTGGCAACAATGAACAATGAACTGATCGATCAATCTGAAGTTAATTTTTCCAAAATTTTAATGATCATTTGGGTTTGAAACGTCTCAGTAAATTATTAGAGGCTAGTTGTATTCAGTTAATATTGCTTATATATGACAATTAAATGGAATTGGCAGCCTTGTTCTTTCACTATATGTGCACAACAGATAAGGGTTAGCTTGTGACCGTGGCTTTAATTATCAGTCAGGTAAAAGTATTTTACGTAATGGCTTGGAATTACTGATATATACATGGGTATGACTTGATTCGGATATGGCGATACATAAAATCTCAAAAAAATAGTACATGGATATGGCAGGGATATGTCAAAAAATAATTAATATAATATATTATATATATTTGTAAATAAGATTTGCTCATTTTATCCACATTATCATGAATGAAATAACTAATTTGGAGCTTAGAGCCAGATATTTATTGTTTTTTAAATTTCATATTATTTTTACCTCATAATATATTTTAAAATTTCATTGGAATCACATTGTTCTAAAAATAATAATTACAATACTACCTCACTGTGCCCTGAAAGTGTCCCAATTGTGTTTCTTCCGTGCCCCTATGTGTCCATGCCGTGTCCAACCAGAAAGAAATATATTCAAACGTTAGGACATTTCTAGTCGTGTTGGACACGTGTCCGGATTGTGTCCCACGAATGTCCGCGTGCCCGATACTACTATGGCACCCCTAGGAGAAGTGTTTGTGCTTCCTAACTTAATGATTTCATCAGGTGTCAAACTCGTTGTGGATCAATGTAGTTGTCTTGATGTTTAAATTTATAGGTGTGACAATGGCCATGATTTTTCTGTCAATTTTGGATTTCCTGTAATTTTTCTTTTAAGCTTTCAGATTAGGGTGTTTGGAAACATTGTATTACCGTGGACTTACCCTCTGAAGCAACAAATTTATAAGATCTTAATCAAGACTAATAGGTAGTCCCTTTTGTGGCAAGTTTCAAACTTCTTTATATATATATATGAGTGTGTGTTTTTGTGCGTGCGCGTGTTTTTTTTTGGATTGATTTAGGTTAGATTTATCTACTCTAACCCATATTTATTTTCTGAAATTACAATTAAAAAATTTGCTGCTATTTCCAGCTTACCAATCTAGCTATTTCCAGATTACCAATCCAAATCTTTATGGACCTTCCCCATTTGATTTTGTACTTGTGTAACAGGAGTACATGACACATGATGATGTTTGAAAATTCTGTGACTTTGATAAGTTCTATAATGTGTAAGAGTCTGTATGCTCTAAGAATTAATAAATATTTTTTTCTGATGGCTTATAATCATTATAAAATTCAGAATCCTTTTAAAATCATGTAAAGTTATGAAAAAATTATTAAAATCATCACACCTGACTCTATGGGATTTTGGGGTTAAAACAAGCGTAAACTACATTTTGCTGGACTTGTGGCACAAAAGTTGTGGCTTTGGTATTCGTGTCTGTCATGTATCATCCATTACGCTATGTGTTTGTTCCACTGCAATTGTGTCACTGCAACCATCACCGTTGCAGCGGCTGTTACCGCAACTTTAAAACCTCGTGGTGATGATAGGTTCTGAATTGAGGTCAGACGGATAGGAAGAGGACAGATTTGCAAAGTTGGGCTTTTTATTTTTTGGTGCTCCAGAGATGCCAAAACTCGAAGTATATCTTTATATGTATGTATGAATCTAAGTATATATTTAAACTGCATCAAGATCAGCCCTGGTTCCTCCCTCGTCCTTAGAGATATCTTCATTATGCGCTGAATATTCAATACATTAATTCAATTTTTATTGTTGCTCAGATCTCCTCCTTCCTTTGTACCCTGTAGCTGTAGAGTTTGTTTCTCATATGAATGCTTAAAAATGTTGGTCCATGATATCCACATGCCCACTGAATTCGGCAACCAATCATCTAGCACATTCAGATGTGCGCTCCTAGTCAGTTTTTGGACTTCTGTAGGGAGTTCTTTTGGTATTATCATGAGTTAGAATCCTACTTCTGTGCCAATCTTCCTTGTAAAGTAATTGAAATTCTGTCATTCAGTTTGGATTACAATGATTATCCCCTTGTAGGAGCTGAAATTGCCTTTGGATGCTGATTCTTGTGTACACAAAGCAAGCCTTTTAACAACTATGTGTGTGTGTGAGAGAGAGGGGGAGAGATTTTTAGTTCTTATTTCATTTTCCTTGAGAAGTGATTTGGCAAACAAATCCAAGGCCAACCAGGCACGGCCAGTCCATATTTATGATTTATCTAAAATAGTGTATGTATATATATATTTAACCTTGTTCTTATCTTGTTTTTACTGCATTTTAAAATTTCCTCAGTTTATTTTATGTGGGTTATTTTTGTCCAGGCGAACTAAAGACTACTTTAAGCAGACATAAAGGACCCATATTTTCTCTGAAGTGGAACAAGAAGGGCGATTATCTTCTTACTGGGAGCTGTGATAAAACTGCCATTGTGTGGGATGTGAAAACAGAGGAATGTAAACAACAATTTGAATTTCATTCAGGTGCTACATAGTTGATTGGATATTAGGAATTAGTGCTGATTGTTTCTCTGATTAAATATATATATATATATATATATATATATATATATTTATATATATATATATATATGTTTGCCAGGATTAAACTCCTTAGACCTCTTATTAATAGGTCCAACACTTGACGTTGATTGGCGAAACAATGTTTCATTTGCAACAAGCTCCACAGACACTATGATTTATGTTGGCAAGATTGGAGAGTCTCGGCCAATCAAAACCTTTTCTGGGCATGAGGTTCGTTCTTGCTATTAACTGGTCATTACTCTCATCATGCTACCTCAAATTACTGATTTCTTTTCTGCTTCAGTTGGTCTAATTCAAATTTAATAACATGCAATTTTAGTACTTGAAGTTGACTGCATTGATCTGTCTTCACTCTTCTCCTGTCTGCTCTATGTAAAGCCATATCCTCAATTAAGCTGAGGGTTACTTTGACCAAGCAGCATTAAGTAGTAACAAGAATGTGAAATATTGTGTGATATTTTGGGAGCATTAAATCTTACATGAAAAAAAAATGCACCAAGACTTTGAAATTTATACCATAGTACTAAAATTATAGCTCATTTTTTGGACTCCTGTTATTTCAGAGTGAAGTTAATTGTGTCAAATGGGATCCGACAGGTTCATTGTTGGCATCTTGCTCTGATGACTTCACTGCGAAGGTAACTAATGTTTCCTTTTACTTTATAGACTTACAATTTGCCTTGGAAGTGTTGCCAGTACCTGCTCCATGCATGATATATTCATTTTTTGCTGATATCCTGTTTAGTTTCCTGATTTCTATACTTTAAGAGGGATATGCCATTTTATGTCATGTATGTTTGCTTCTCAAGCGAACCAGATATATGTTTTTCAATTTTTTTTTTTTTTCTCCTTCTTAGTAATGATTAATTCACATTGTATTGTTTTTGCTACTGATATGAAATTTTGATGCAGATATGGAGTATGAAGCAGGACAAGTACGTTCATGATTTAAGAGACCATGCTAGGGTAGTACTTAGTTATTTCTCTTTTCCTTTTCCTTTTCCGTAATCCATATATCTTCATTTTTATTCATTAATCTATTTTGTTGGATGCTTATTACAAACCTTAAATATCTTGCAGGAGATATATACCATCAGATGGAGTCCTACTGGTCCAGGCTCAAACAATCCTAATCAGCAATTAGTCTTGGCAAGGTGTGCTACTTCTTAAAACCAGAAAAAGTCGATAAAATTATTAAATTAAACTGTCAATTTCAGTTCTTCAACTTCTCTCTCTCTCTGAACCTACTGGACTTTTGATACTTGTACATTTATCTAGGTGATGAATAATTCGTTTGCCTTAATATTTGTGGTCGTTGGTGTAACAAGATGCTTTTGTAAATTTAGTGTAGACAGAGGACTTCCATTACACACGAGATATTACATTCTATTTGCCTTTCAGTTCAATACTCTCACAAACATTCAATGGTTTTGGCTTTTACACAGTGCATCATTTGACTCAACGGTGAAGCTTTGGGATGTTGAACTAGGGAGACTTCTCTGCAGTTTGAATGGCCACAGGTACTAAACTTATATGGTTTTGATCATGCTTCATCATAGAAAAGTAACTGTAACCGTGAGGTTCCAAGAATGATCTGTGATTAATAAATGGGCATTTTCAATTTCATTTGTGGTTGGGAACTGAGCCATTGTTGTGGTTTTAGCTGGATCATCTCTTAAGATAATATTTTTTGCCCTTGGTCAATAAGGTGAACTTATATGCCTTTATCATAAAAGAGCGCATGTAAAAGTGAGGTTCCAATATTGATCTGTAGCATTTTTAGTTACATTCATAGTGGAGGACAAAGTCATTCTGTGGTTTTATAACTAACTTTCTGCTCCAAAACTTGATCATTAGGTGATGATTTTTACCTTCCTTTCTTGAATATGTTTTTAACATCTATTAAAATACTTTTTCACCCCTTGGTTTATTGGCAAACAGAAGCAACTCTTAGATGGTTGGGTGAATTATGCTCTAACTTGACAATTAAACCCCTCACCTATTGGAAATCTGCAATTCCAGGTGATGAAAAAAAAAAAAAAAAAAAAAAAGAAATTTTGTAAAATACCCAAGTCCACTAAGTATACTAAGTTGTCTTATTCTCTTCTTCATGATTTCTAAAACCCTAAAGTATTTGTACACACACAAACAAGTATATACTCTGTTCCTTGTTATGACAGCCATGCAATAGCAGCTCAACCTCATTATACCAAAAAATCATGCCCAAGAGTTTGAACAGGTGGTGCAAGACACCATTACTAACAAGTAGAGTGTCTCCCGCCAAAAACAACTTGCTCACCTAAAAAGTAAATTTTTTTCCATGTATTTTAGTTATTTTGATGGAACTCAGATGATTATTTTCCTTGTCTTTGATAGTACATTGGTGTGTGAATTACCATATGAGAAGTATAATTCACTTTATAACTTAACGACTTAACGTGGTAAGATTATGATGCAAGGGTCCACTACTTGGTGTAATGATAAAAGCTTGGAGAATAGTAATTCTATGTAAATAATATCGAAGATTAAGTCGGTTTAAATTTGTGTCCTCCAATACACCTTGCACTGCTGGGAACTACACTAGGTAGTGGTGGCAAACTGAAGAACAGATCTTATCCGCGGCAACCAATTCCATCTTCTGGTCGGTGAGACTGAGTCTTTCGATTCGAGCTTTAGGTTCAACGCCTACCCGCGATCGATGCTTATACTACAGTATCAATACCTCTTTTCTTTCTTCAAATTCTTCAAAAGGGCCTTCAGGAGGATGTTCAGAAAGTGCCCTCTTCAATGACCTAGAGAAAGTGTTCCGTGAGTGAGTCAGCTTTCAACTTTCCAGTGGTTAAGCGTGCCCATAAATCCTAGAATGAAAAAGAAGCAGCTCCAACAAATCCTTACTTCAGTAGGTAGTAATCTTCAAGTTGATATTGTTTGGCTAATCATGTTGGTTTCTCACGAAGAGCTGACTGAGACACATTATATGACAATGTTTTTTTGGTCTATAATACACACTTTTCAATACAGAGGCTAGTGAATCTTTTGAAGCAGACCTATCTTTCTACAGTGAATCTTTAGAGAATATCTATTTTTTTATTTTTTATTTTATTTGGCATTGGGATTTTCTCATATTTTTATGATTATAAGATTCAAAATCTGATTTAATCATAAAATAAATATAAATAAAATATAATGAAAAATGTCCCAGATTCTTTAACAATGATTACCAGATGATTAAATTGCGTAGGAGGTATAAGCTGTCCCTTTGTTTTTGCTGTAATTTTTGTTTTTATTTTGCACCTGAGAAGCTTTTTTCCTTCTCTCTTGTTCTGTACTTTTAAGTATCTTAATAATAAATCAACCACATTCAGGAAAAAAATTAAAAATTTGCATAGGAGAGTTGTATATTCTTTATAATGTAATAAGGCTTTTGATTTCTGGCATTTTAGGACATTCTTGTCTTGACTGAATTCTGTTTAATTGTCCCTATTGATTTGTAGCTTGTTCTGGGGATTTTTGAATCCATTGTCTAGAATCCTATGAGTTGAACTCTAGTGCTTAGGAATGATGAATTCCCTGTCAGAATACGATGGTTCACCCGCTGAGCCTTCTTGCTGTGTGAACTACTTTCACCACTCATGAACTTTAGTTGAGGTTTACCTAAAAGGAACTGCATGTTTCTTTGGTTTTTTGAATGTAAAATTGGTGATTGTCATGCTTGTTTTATTTTTAACAAGTGTGTTGCAATTGTGTTGCCAGGGAACCTGTATACTCTGTTGCTTTTAGCCCAAATGGTGAGTATTTGGCCAGTGGCTCTCTGGATAAATCTATGCATATTTGGTCATTGAAAGAAGGCAAGGTCGTGAGAACATATACGGGCAATGGAGGCATATTTGAAGTCTGCTGGAACAAGGAAGGTGACAAGTTTGCTGCCTGTTTCGCCAACAACACAGTTTGTGTTTTGGATTTTAGAATGTAGGGTTTTCTAAAGTCCCCCCTTTGATGCTGGAACAAGGCGGCCTTTCTGCGCTTTCCGGAAAGATTAAGCTGATTACTTGGCACATAGAAATCCAGCCATTTGAGAGAAAAGAAGGGGAAGCACTTTGGAAAGGTAGTTTTGTTTTTCAGTTGTAGATGAGGGCATCACTGGCCTTATTCATTTTTAACTTTAGTAACTTGCAGTTGTCATTCAAATGCCTGCCAGGCCACTGTTTCTAGGGGGTTAGATGGATAGCTAGTTGTGTACAGATTTACGTAAGTTGAAACCCTAACTCATCACTTCTTAAAAGTGTTCAGTCTTCATAAATCTCTGTTTTTACATTTTCAATTGGTTCAATTATTTTGAGGCAGATCATTTAATTGATGGAAAATACTGTAAAATTGAACTCATGAACCTTTCAATCAAGTGGATGAATAGCACCTATTGATAACTCTTCAATGCTCCACATGTGCAGATTAACCAAAACCATTTGTTGCATCACTTGTGGAATGTATTTTAGTTCTACCTCATTCTGCTGAATGATATAGAAAGAAGAGAAAAAATTGGTGTTAATTTCGTTACAATTTGAATTTTGAATGGCTAAACAGTGGCAAACAAAATAAACCAGTAGAGACAGTCATCCAATAAGTGCTGCTCTCGGCAACATTAGATTGATCTAATGTTTGTTCACCAGTAACACGAACAATACAAAGTGTGGAATCGGTTCTGATACCTCACAACTATTTTAAACCCCGTGATTCTTGAAATCAGTTTAGACACAACGTGACAGTTTGAACACACTCGGATTGTACTTCCTGATTGAGTACTGAGCAATGGCACTGTGAAGTTCAAGCGATCGCTCCTTTTCACTCTCTGATATAGTGTAATACAGTTTCTGTTGCCAGGGTGTAACCATGAGCCTTGAGCCAGCCATTTATCTTCTCTGGCATCATATAGATTTCTTTGAACTCATGCACCCAATTCTTCACTTCAATCGAGCTACAACCGGGCTCCTTCCAGACTCCATTGTCTTTCATCGTTGTCCTCATTCTTGCCACTCCATCCCAATTCCCGGCTGCAGGATATATATTTGACCAAAGAACCCTTATGTTTTGAAATGTTTCATGTTTTTTCTGAAGGTGATCGAATTTGATCTAGTGTTTTGGGCATGTTTTCATTTAACCATGTTATAGGGTATTGATAGACAAAAAAATTTCTTTGTTAAAATAGTCCCTTGGTAAAAAAAACTTCATCAATTGTAATATTGGTTTGAAATGCTATTCAATTTTTAGGGATGACTAGAAGACTTATACAGTTTTCATTTGAGGCACTATTCTAGACTTCTCAAGTAAGAGGATTTGATATATATCTAGACTGATATTATCAGTTGACTAAATTTGAACTAGAAATCTAGAAGGAAGTAAATGTTTTGAATCTATTTGAACTAGAAATCTAGAAGAAAGTAAATGTTTTGAAATTGTAGATTTTTTTTTAAGCTATAAATACACCCAACAGGTTACTTGTGGAAACCAATTTAGCAACCAACCTAGCAAATATAAACATTCAATTTCCCAAACCTTATATCAGTTTTCATGACATTGAAACAATCTTCCAATTTAGCAACCAACCTAGCAAATATAAACATTCAATTTCCCAAACCTTATATCAGTTTTCATGACATTGAAACAATCTTTAGTGTTGAAAAAATGATCGGGCCAATAGGTCCCTTTTGAAAAGTAATTGAGTTTATGTTAACATTAATAAATTCCACACATATGAGTATTATCAAGAAAAGTAAATATGCATCGCTACTGTAGATAGAACTCCACCTTCTTTATTAGGGCAAAATAGCTCCGCGAAAGCAGCTCGGCAGGAGAAAGCAATTAATCAATAATTCGCAATCAAATCTCCTTTCGCTCTTTACCATAATGCATCCCATATATTTTCTGAGCTTCCATTTGCATCTCGTGCTGCATGCAAAATGGAGAAAGTGTTTGTCCTGGTTATTGTCAGAACATAATATGTGTGTTGTGTCGTTAATATACATATTTAATTATTAATGAAAATATAGGATGGTTCTGGTGAATTGGTTTTCTTTTAAGAAAAATTTGAGTCAGATTGGACGGCCAGAGTCCATTGTGAAACAAAGGTCAGTCACGAAAGCTTCATTTCATAAAGGCAATATGTATCATCTAATAGGGTAACCCATCCCATTCTGCGCGGGTGTTATTCTCATAACATAATATGTGTGTGGGGCATGCAAAATAAGGGTTTGTCCTTGACTTATTTTCAGAATATAATATGTGTTGTCTTTCATCTACATATTTATTAATAAAATACAGGATGGTTCTAGAGGTTGGACAATGATAAGGGTCAATGTAATGTTTATTAATTTTTGTAAGATCTGGAACATTCTATGGGACAAAGTGAAAACGTGAAAATAGCTAAAAACTTATAGGCGTCACTAGAAGGGTTTACTTGGACAATTTTGACACGCACATGTAGTTCTAGATTTGTTGGACAATTATATATATATATATATATATATATAAAATCCTAAAAATAACTGTGAAAATAGGTGATACTATGTACTTTCTTTACAAACTTATGAAAAAATAAATTTATATGTTAACAACCTTATGAAAATCATACTGACAACAAATAATTCAATTTGGAACACTGATTTTTTACATTATATTGTGTAATTCCTAAGTCACAAATTTTATTCTACCAAACATAGTTCAAAAGAAAGAATGGTTCTAGACTGAGTAGCATACCATATTTTCTTGGATCAACAGTCTCCTTTTTTACGATTTAAAAGCATTTTTATTATAAAAATTTGCATTTAGATGTGTTTTGTAACAATTAAAAGCGCTTTTAATTGTTACCAAATTTAGTTTAATAGAGCGTTTGAATGAAACTATAATTTCGAACTTTTAAAACTGCGTATAGGTTGATATTTTAGGTAACTCTTTTTCATTACTCAATTATGTTTCTTTTATTTTTTATAAATACAAATTACACTAATTCCTTAATAAAGTTATTATTATCAAATACGATAACATTCTATTAATAGATATTATTGTAAAATTAGCAATAAAAGTATGAACCGAAAAATGAAACTATAAAAACTAAATTGAGCACATGAGAATGTAAGAGGGGTCACTGCATTACCAGTCATAATCATTTTTATCATTGGCAGAATTAAGAAAATCATCAGCCCGGTTTAGAATTAAGAAAATGATAGACAAATGTAATATCAACATTCAAAAAGGCAGAAACATATAACTTTCATAATCATAATAGTCAAAATTATACGAATTAACCTATTCAAAACTTCGGACTGAAACTAATAAAGCAAACACGGGAAAGAGGATGGAAGAAAAATATATATTTAAGTTTCAATAAGGATCACACATATTTTTTTCATTGAGAATTTCTCGGGCTTACTTTTTTTCTTGGTATGGACTCAATTCAATTAATTTATAAATTAATTTCGAGTTTACTAAAAGAATTTATTAATCTCCAATCAAATAGTAAATAACCACTAAATCAATGTTGTATCTTGACCCATCTATGCATATTTTAGCTATCGGTTAATTAAAACCATCAATCTAACTGCACAATTAAAATATTTATTTTGACTAATTGATTATTTTTCAACTTGATCACAATAAAATATTTCTTTGACAAAAATAATACTTTAGTAAATTAATAAATAAAAACTATTTTGTCTAAAGGCATTCGAATTTATTTTGTGATCAACCATAATCAATACAAAATAAATACAAGTAGCATATGCAAAAATTGAGAATATAACCCTTTAACTATTAATTACATAATTATCTACAGTGCCAGTCCAAATTAAAGTAATTATTAATCAATAAAGACTCTAATTGTTTGAGAGTCAAATGTCATGGCCATGAAATTGTGTAATTGCATACGATGGTTTTCGCAATACATTACTTATGAAAAATATTTTAGTTCTGATTCTGCTAAATGATATAGAAAGTAGACAAAAATGGAGGTAATTAAAAAGGAGAATTTCTTTACAATTTGAAATTTGAATAGCTAAACAATGCCAAACAAAATAAACATTCATCCAATAAGTGCTGCTTCTTTCAGCAACATGAGATCAATAATCTACTGTTTGTTCACCAGTAATCCCCACAAGAACACGAACCATTCACAAAGTGGTGGAATCGGTTCCGATCCCTCACAACTATTTTACGCCCCGTGATTCTTGAAATCAGTTTAGTCACAGCATGACAGTCTGAACACACTCGGAGGTTCTTCACAATCTTGATTGTAGTTCCCGGTTGAGTACTGATAAGTCCGAAAGCAATGGCAAGCTTCTCACTGTGAACTTCGAGGGATCGCCCCTTTTCACTCTCTCTGATATCATGTAATACAGTTTCTGTTGCCGGGGTGTAACCGTGAGCCTTAAGCCATCCATTCATCTCCTCCAGCATCATATAGATTTCTTTACACTTTGGGTGCTTCGAATCTCCAGCAAGGAACTCATGCACCCTATTGTTCACTTCAATCGAGCTACAGCCGGGCTCCTTCCAGACTCCATTGTCTTTCATCATGGTCCTCATTCTTGCCACTCCATCCCAATTCCCGACTGCAGCGTATATATTAGACAGAAGAATATATGTTCCCGAAGTTGCAAGATTTCGACCAACAAGGAACTCCACAATTTCCTCTCCCAAACCAACATTACCATGGAGCCTACAGGCACCGAGTAATGTTCCCCATAAGATGGGATCAGGGTCAATCTTCATCTTCTTAACAAGCTCGTAAGCTTCCTGTAAATGCCCAGCTCGCCCAAGAAGATTTACCATACAACCATGGTGCTCAATCTTCGGTTCAATCTTATATTCATCTTTCATCGAATGGAAAAAGCCCCATCCCTCGGAAATCAACCCTGCATTAGCACAAGCACTCAGAACGCCAATAAAGGTAATATCAGTAGGACGGAGACCCATCCGGCACATACTACTGAACAACTGCAAAGCATCTTGGCTGAATCCGTGCATTGCATACCCAAAAATCATCGAATTCCAAGCAATGACATCCTTGTACTTCATCTTATCAAAAACCAAGCGGGCCTCCTCCAAACCGCCACATTTGCTATACATATCAACCAAAGCAGTACCCAAATGAACATTCAACTGAACCCCATTATTGTCAATGTAAGAGTGAACCCATCTACCTGATTCCAACGCCCCAAGCTGCCCACAAGCAGAGAGAACTGATACTAAAGTAACCTCATTAGGCTTCACTTTAGCTGACAACATTTGCCTAAACAGACCCAAAGCCTCATTTGGCCTACCATGCTGAGCATACCCATCAATAATCACATTCCAACACACAACATCCCTCTCCAACATTTCATCAAACAGTAACCGAGCGTTCCCAACATCGCCATGCTTCGCATAGCAAGTGATCATTGCAGTCAAAGAAACTAAACTCTTCTCAGGCATTGTATCAAACAGTTGCTGTGCACACGCAACATCACCCCCTCTTGCATAGACATCAACTAAAGCAGTCCTAACATAAGTATTGGAATCAAACCCGAATTTCAAGGCTTGTGAATGAAGAGTTTTTCCAGGTTTGAGAGGGCAAGATTTTAGGATTGCAGAGAATGTGAATTCATTGGGTTCAATGCCTTGGGTCAGCATTTGGACATAGTAATGGAAAGCTTGTTCATGGAGGTTGTTCATGGCATGGCTGTGAATAGTGGCGGTGTAGAAGAAAACATTGGGGTTGTGGGTTCGTTCGAAGAGGGCGACGGAGTAATCGAGGCGGCCAAGAGAGGAGTAAGACCGCTGGAGCTTGAAATTCAAGATTGGGTGGTGGTCAAGTCCGCGGCGGATAAGGGAAGCGTGGATTTGGAGGAGCTGGTGAGTGGTTTTGGATTTGTCGATCAGAAATGCGAGCCCGTCTGTTGGTGGAGGATGGCGGTGTTTGGTGGTGGTGGTGGTGGTGGTGGTGGTGGACTGAGAGGGTGGCGAAAGGGATGCATAATTGGTGGTGGATATGGATGGGGTGGTTATAAGGGTGGTTGAGGACATGGTTTAGTTATGGGTTGTTAATGAGTTTTGGCGCCATGAAATATTAGAAATTTAATAAATTGTCTGTGACATTGGATCATGTGATTTTAGGTTCTTTCCAAAGGTTTAGGGTTTAAATTATGAAAAATATTTCTCTAATATGAAAATTAACGTGACTAAACAAAGGAAAATAAGATGTGGGATTCACAAAAATGTATTTTGTTGAGTAATTTAGTTTGAAATTTTTTTACACAAATTATACTATTTTTATTTATTTTATTTTTTTTTTCCCCCTTTTTTTAAGCAAACAAATAATTACTATATGATTTTAACCATGATAAAATCATTTTAACAAGTTTGACAAACAAATATTATAAAATCCATTGGATGATCTTTTTCATTTAAATTTATATGAAGGAGGTTCTTTTAACATTATTTTGATTCAATTTGACTGATGAATTTCCTTCAATTGACTGTTTAATAATCTTTATTGTGAGCTTCATGATTGTTTCTCAAGTAAGATTAACTTGTACAAAAATTATACTTTTGTAATTTTGCACTTTATTTTATTTTATTTATAAAATGACAAATTTTATTCTACTACTCTTTTTTGGAGATAAATTATAGAGTAATGATATTTTGAAGCTTTATTTTATTTTTATTTTTCTTTTCTTTAAGCTCAATTTAAATAAATTATACTTACCTCCCTTAAGTTTAAACAAATTATCTACAAATAAACTGTTTAATTTTAACTTTTACTTCCTCTAAACTCACCTCCCTTAAAGTTTAAGCACGGTTTAACAATTTTTATTTTAACCTCTTCTAAACCCGTTCACTAACTGCCGATATTTTTAAATGTAAAACTCAATAATGCTATGATTTTTATACAAAGATGGACAAGATTTTTATATAAAAGAAGAAAAATATTACTATTATTTTATAAAATTTGGTCAACAGATATGCATAAGAAAAAATTAAAGAATGTGGTTGAGCGTAATTTACCATTTTATCAAGGTTATGTACAAAAACCTAAAACCCTTAAACCTTTTGGTCTGCTTTTCGAATTCTCTCAGAAAAACAATGGCTTTTCGTTGCGGATCATTTTCGAGGTCGCTGATATCCACCGTGAGAGTATCAACAGCACGTACCTCCTCATCCCTGCCCCGACTCCCATCACCACCACTTCGCAGCCACCACCTTCACTCTCGCCGCCTGCTCTCCAACAACCCCAGGTATGTACCTCCAACTCCATTTCTAGGGTTTTCCCAGCTAAAAACCTTCATTTCTTTTTCAGTCATCAATTGCTATAATTCTCGTATATTTCTCTGTCTCTCAAGGACTCTCGGAGTGTTTGGGTGCGCGCAATCGCTGCTACCTCTGCACAGCGTCGTGGCATCCTCTCGTCTGACATCGCACATCACCGTCGAGGCTCGGGCGTGTTGCGAGTTGTCTCAGGGTACCTTATTTTGCCGTACTTGTCAGGATCGCTAGTTTTGTGCTTTCTTTGTGATTCTTACTATTTATTGCATTGATCTGTGTTGGACAATACTGCTCCAAGTAATCATCAAACCCACCAATTCAATTAATCTTAATTATTTGTCTTGTTAGACTGTTTTATTGATTTATGTCTTGTGAGGTAGCAGATTATCGTCATTAAATTGGGTTTTGTTGGCGGTAATTGATGACCATTTCGAGTTTCTTCACACCCTTTTCTTAGTACACATCAAAAGAAATAAAATTGGTTGTTTAGATACTTTGTTATTTCAAACTAGGGGCATGGAAGAGTGCTTTTTGATGTTGGGAGTTTGATTGAACTGATTGGAGAGATTTTCCTATACAACGTGGTTTTTTAGCAAGCTATTGAGCAAGTATATATTTATGGAATTTGGTAATTTAAAGTTTAGTTATTGTTTGGGATATTATTTGTTGGCTTGATTTTATTTGGTTTCTAGCTACTTCTTTTTAACATATGTTCCTGCTTTTGTTTGGATTACTACCTAACCTACAGGGTCTCATCCATCTTTGCATTTTCAATGTTTTTGTATGCTTTACAGGTAATTTGAAGGTGAAACATTTCTTTAACCTGATTTAGCTAACAATTATTATGAAATCTCAACATTTCTGTTTTTGTTGATTGGTTAAATTAGGATATACTTTTCCAGAAAGTGGTGTATTAAAATGGCATAGGTAGACATTAGTATCTAGACTTTGAATATTCATTGTTCAATTTTTTTTTTTTTTTCTTAATTTTTTTATGAGGAATTTTTGAGCTATAGTATGCATATTCTTACTTGTTGACAATCATCTCATGGTATTTTACTACATCAAAACATAAGTACATTCATTTTTCTAATTTAGAACATTTTGTGCAAAAAATTTGTTGTGATTTTATTACTTAGAAAGTGCTTGCAGTGAATGGTCCTAGATTGAAGTAAAAATATGAAGAGTATCCTTGATAATTTTTTTCATTGCTGTATTTATGATATCTTTTCTCATTGCTGTTTTGTTATCTATCTTTGTTTTGGCCTGCAGTTTGAGCCTTGGACCTTTCAATTAATCTTTGCTTCTTCTAGTAAATGTAGTTAAGTATTATGTTACATGGCCTTCGGTATGTGAGTCGTGACACGTTGACTCAAATTCTCAAACAAAAAGACACATTGACACTGCTAAAGATTCGTATTATTTAATAATTTTATTCTATTTTCTAGGTTAAATAATGTCTTTATGTAACATTGTTTTCAACATTACTCATTTTGAAGCAATAATATTATAAATTAAATTATTGTACATTATTTTTTAGGTGCATGTCCAACAAAAAATCCCAGACTCATATTGCATACCTATGTTCGAGCAATGTGCGTCGAACACGGGTACTTCACCTACTATTGAAGAGTCCATGTAACATAGATTAAGAACCATTATTAATTTCTATTTGCCGTTGGATCCTTCTTCTTAATTTTGATTCGCTAATAATAGTAGAATGTCCAATAAAAAACCTTGTAATCTAGTTCGGTTTTAAGTGTGACATCTATTGCATTGCTATGTTACTTGTACTTGGGTACATGTATCAGGTATGTGTATGTGTCTAAATGTCAGAATCCCATTTCTTAGGACACTTGGACTCAACTTGAAAATTTGAAATGCATTGAAAACTTGGATACATGCCACTTAAAAACATAATATGTGTTGCATAAAAGAATAACGCATGAGGTTATTATTCTTTAAAGAAGTACTTAATACTCCCTCCGTCCCAAAATAAGTATCATGCTTTCCTTTTTTGTTTGTCCCAAAATAAGTGTCCGCTTTCCTTTTTCAAATAATATATTTTACATCTTTCCTTATATGTCTTCTAAGTTTAAAATTTCAAACTTGAATATTCAAAACTTAAAAGGGCAAGTTAGTAATTTTTTAGGGAGACAATGCATGTCCCATGTGTCCCCTTAAAAATTATTACTCCCCATTAGCGACACTTAAATTGGGATGGAGGGAGTAATAAACAAATTAAATGGATGTGGCGAAAAAAGAAAGATTCCATTATCTCAAAAGGTAATCCCTTTTTGCTATCACATTTGAGTTTTTCTTCTTTCATCGGCAAGATTAAAAGTATTCAGGCTCACATACTCCATCCAGATACCCATGTCGTGTTGGCACCGATGCTTTAAGGGGAATAAGAGAGTCTTGGTAACACAACTGGTTACATTGGATCTTCTGTTTGTAATATCCCGAGCTTCTAAACAGTAATGACTTTCAAATTTAGCTTATGAATGTCATTTAAAACATTGTTGTTAAGTAGAATTGGCAGTTCCTTACCTGTTCCTGGCATCTTACGTGTTCATAATAGGATCCATTGTTTTGCTCGGGAATTTATAATTAATTGTTTTTGGGTCTTCCTGAACTGAACTCTGGTCAAAAGGTGGGCCTAGGCAAGGATGCAGAATTAAAGACTAGTCAATGTGATTATTATTTAAAATTATTTTTAATCTACTTGAATATTTAATTTAATTTTTAACTGGCTTTTTAGGTTTAAACTGGTTTTGGTTATGTTAACATAATATATTGATAAGAGTTCAGTTGGTTAAAGGTAATGTTAAAATGCCTCGAGTATTTAAGATCAAGTTTGTGACGACCCAACATGAATTGGACTTGAGTTGGAACTTGCTTGAACATCACATATTACTTGGATTCCTGCTTAAAAAGAATCTTTTTATTGTCTAATGTTTCACATAAGATATTCTTAATTAGTGATTTCATGAGCACACTCAAAGAGGAAAAAATGAAAGTTCTGATACGAGGTTAGGTTGTGCAGTGTGCATTAGTGGGTGAATATATGCTTATGTGTTTATTCATGAGGAAATGTCTATTCATAGTTATTTTTTAATGTAGATTGCTTAATTTCACTTTATTTCCTTGAGTTGTATTATGTCACTTGAAAGTCAAATATGGTCATGTGATATTTTTATTATTTTTATTTATTTTTTGTTTTTTTTGGTGATGGGTTGGGGGGGGGGGAGGAAGTTGTGTTAGGTGAAAAATACCTACTGTGTTAAGTCTTAAGTGAGCTGGCCAGCTTTAAGATATGAACAGGAAGTAATTCTATATCATCTCTCTGTTTGCTATTGGATTCATTGCATGGCAAGGTGTTTCCCTTCTCAGTACCCACATTATGTTTTGTTTAATTTCTAACATAAATTGTGATTTTTTTGATGGTTTATAGCTGTCATGGTATATAAATGTACCGTTATACCATTGAAGAACAGAAAAAATTTGGTGATTAGTATGACCCTTTGACATGTACCATCCGAGCACTCTTTCTTTCTTTTGAATTTTTTGGACTAATCGGAAGAGTCATGATAGATATAGAGAGATCATTTGCTTTCCCCAACTTTGGATCTGTGCCGTTGTTAAATTGTGTTTGCATTGGTTCATGTCAGCAAATATTGTGTATGTATGTGAGTGGGGTGGCTTTGTGTCCAATTGCATAAGACTCTTTTAATAATATATAGTTATTGCTCTTATCCTGTGTTGTAGGTACTTGAATTGATTATTGGTTCAGCATGCCAAGTGCTATGCTATGTGCGATCTGAAGAACTTTTTGTGGTGAATCCTCTTTGAAAGTGGGAGGTTGGTTTTGATTTGTTGTTCTCAAAAGAACTTAGTTACATTAAGAGACTGTTTTACGATTTCACTATTTAATTATTTTTGAACTGTGATAATTACTGGTTCTTCATGCTTTCTGCTTGTAAAACTCATGGGCTCTTGCTTCATCTTTGCAATTGATGGTATATTGGCCATATATTTATTTTTCTCCTTGAATTTTATGGCCAATGTATTCCTTAGTTTATTGGACTTTCATGGAACTCCATAATTCCTAAAATCAGATAGTAAAGTGTGTTTGGGAACCGCTCCTAACATTATAATCAAATAGGATGTAGGTTACACATTAAATTGGTTTACATAGAGACCTATCCTAGAGTTTCTATTCAATCAAACTTATTTTGGGCTTTGGCTTGTTGAATTTTGAACTTCTAGCTATATCAGCACATTAAGTCTTCTATGAGAATAAAGCGACTTTAGGACAATTAATCGATTTCTGTTTATATGTCCTGTCACTTTATGTTTGTTAGTTCCATTTATAATGGTTGACAAATCAGAAGTTTTCAATTGAACTTCTCCTTTCAATTGGTCTTTTTGCTTATCATCTTATCTTGCAAAATTTGAAACTTAGGCGCTGCTAGCTATATCAGCGGTGCAAGTCTTGTATGAGAGTAAAGCATCTTTGGGGAAGTGACATGGCTGGTAAGTTTATATTTTGTTGTTCGTGGTTGATGTCAACATTCAAAGCCAAATTTGGACATGCTTTAAAGGCTGCAATTGGTTGGTGTCTTTTGAAAGTATTTAGACTTGGACTCAACATGCTCAACTTAAGTTCCTGCTGTCAATGGAGCAAAGGACTTCTGAATTCTCTCAACAGAGGATCATCCAATTGTACATCATTCTCAGTTTTCTCATATCCCATATTTTCAGGTGAGGCATGAGAATTTGGATCTCATCTTCCTGGTTCAATTTAGATGAGTTAGGGTCCGGTTGCTGTCCTCTCCTATATTGTTGTATACTGGTCATGGTGTTAAATTAACATATTTGGTTAATTATTCTTGTTAAATCAGAACAGCAGGTTGAACTATTCATTTATTTACTTTGGCAAGAAACTCACACCCCCACACTCTTTTGGCCCTATGGGGACTTGAACCATCCACCTTCTATTTTGTAAGGTGAGGAAGTACCACACTAGGCTACACAGTCCTTGGGGATGACAGCAGGTTGAGCTTACTTTTTGGTCTTGTCATAGAATGTGACATCATGTTTAATCATTGAGCACGGTGTAATTTAAGTCTCAACGCCTAGGAAGTGCGACAAGTTTTCAGCACATGGGCATGTTAGGACCATGCCACGCATCCAGTCCCATATTACTTTAATTTCTCGTCTTGGCTCCTCTTTCCATCTGTTGCGACTTTATGGATATTCTTTTGCCTTTGATGTGTTGATTTGTTCAATAAGTTAACGAGTTGGGCGAACAAAGCATTTTATTTTAGTATTAGACCACTGATTTGATGTTTGGGCGTGTTACTATGTGTTTGATTTGTTCAATAAGTTAAAAGAGTTGGGGAACAAAGCTTTTCATTTTAGTATTAGGCCACCGATTTGATGTTTGGGGATGTTACTATGAAATGCTAACTCGGACATTCTTATCAATTTGGCGAGGCTGTTACAAATATATATTTTTAGTGTTTATTATTATTTATTACTTTACACTAGGCAATCAATCCCATTTGTAGTTGATCTGCTTTGGATAATATTGACATATAATTTTAGCCAACCTCCTCCTATTTAATCTATATGCCTGCTCAGATTTGCTCATTCTAGTTGTCAGTGTTAGGATTTTACATGATAAAAATCAATTATTAGCTCCATCCTTCCTTTCATCTTTGAAAAGGTATGTCTGGGTAGGGCAATAAGGTTGGAAACAAGTTAAATCATATTAGTATGAGTTTTTTATGCATTCTCTGTTAAAGTTGTGTTGAACTAAGTCACACAATCCTTCCGAACGGGTGCCGCTTCTCACGCTCCAAGCGTGCTTCCACTCTCACGCTCCGCACGCGCTCCTGTTTCCGTTCCCACTATTTGTGACTTAATTTTGCCGCTATTGCGCTCCCGCTCTCGCTTTATGTGACTCAGGTTATGAACTCCTACTACTCGGTCCGAAAAAATTCTAGTTGAATGAAGTGTTGTAACCAGACAAGGCAAAGAATGTTGGTCCAGATGGTGCGAAAAAAGTTTCCTCATATTTGTACTAGTTATTGCTTATCTATTTTGCGCAAGTAAAAGTTTCTGAAAAATTTCCCTTTTATCAGCTGACCTGCATAACTACTCATACAACTTATATTTCCACCTATGACTTGGAGTGGTTTGATCTCCATATGCTTTTAGACATCAAATGCCACAAAAACAAACCCTAGTGAAATGACAATTCGAAAATAATTGGCATAATCGAAGGGTTGTAGCCTAGTAGTATCTGCTTTACTACCCAAAGTGGGAGGTGAGGAGGATTGAGTCTCTTTAGGGACAAATGAGTGTATGAAGGAGAGGATTGAGTCACTTTAGGTACAAAAATAATAAGAATTGGCATAAAAATGGCCGAGGAGATCTATAGTATTATTATTATTATTATTTATTATTCTTATGTCCTTAGTTGGTTTTATAAAGTATACTGTGTGTAGCAACCAGCTATAATAATTAGTTGGTTTTATAAAATGTTTACTAATTCTAGTGTGTGAATCAAATGAAATGAAAAAGCAAGTGGGGTTCTCAACTAGCCAAGCAAGAACCAGGAATCAATGAGAGAGACCTCTCTGTGTTGGATATATATTTCATGTGTGGGGAATCAGATACACAGTGATGAGGCTTACAAAGGAGATGATGAGTTGCAATCATTTTCTTAGCTCTTTAGATACCTCACATATATTCATGTAGATTGAACTCACCACAAGAATATATCAGAAAAATCATGCTTTACCATAGGAACATGTTACTTTACTTTGAAGCACTTAATTTGGACTTTAAGCCAGACTCGTTTTTTTTTTTTCTTTTTTTAATTGATCACTTTAGCTAAGGACACGGGCTACCATGAGCGCACTTGTATATAAGGATGAGGTCACCTTATCTCACACTTTTATAATAGACTTACCATTTGCAGAATGAGGCATTAGCCAATAAAATAGGATATCCATGACATCCCAGAATGTTGTTGGATGCAACATGTAAATATATATAGGAATATGCACATAATAAACCGAAACTCGAGTGGTTCTAGATCATTAACTGCATATATATATATGTATATTTTTTGTTTTCTCGACAAGAAACTCACAAACCCATTTGTCTTTACGGAGACTTGAATCCTTAGCTCTCACTTTGATGGGCTACAGCATTCGCTGGCATGAGAAGATTAGGCCAGGTCTGATGTTCAAGCTCTGAGTCATCTATTCAACACCTCAATTATTTTAAAGAAGCTTCATCAGCAAAGCTCCTTTCATTGCACCATTATGAGAGAGGAGAGAGAGAGTCTGTGTGTGTGTGTGAGAGAGAGAGCCAAATATGGGGACACTGGACTGCTGTCTTCTTGAGTTCCAGAACAGAATTCTGAGAATAAGTACAAGTGGTTCTCAATGCTCTTGTCCTACTGTACATATACATTGCCCACTACATCAAGACACCCACATAGATCCTCTTGTTTATTCACACCCCCACCGATTTCCATACTTTTTCTCAACATTATTGCCACTTCGCAGGCCCCATTTTCCAATAAATAAATTATATAAACACAAAAATATATATACTTTTTGGTATCTAAACAATTCTAATAATTGTACACCTCTCATCATTTCACTACTATATCATAGAAAAAATTATATTATCTAAGCTTGTCATTCTCTACCTCATTCTTTTAATTTCTCTCTGTGTATTTAATTTTCTTATTTGGCTTGTAGTTTTATTATTTTATTTTAGTGTTATACACATTAATGGACTTTGTATAAATACACTAATATTTAATTTTGGTGGTTTGCTATTGTCCATAAAAATATGCCTTCCTAACCTGACATGAAACACTTTATAAAGTACTAGTAAGCTATGACTTTAAGCTCCAAAGTACAGTAGAGAATTGTGCCTACTTATTAATTATACTTTTCCAATTGGTCCACTTGTGTGCATCAATATGTAATGAATAATGTCTTGAGCATCAACTGTTTTGGAACTTCTGTGCAGTTCTCTCTCTCTCTAATAATAATATTATTATGTTCAATCTATGTGACACATGCAAGGGGCGGTGATTTTATGTATTTTTTTTTGAAAGTTCAAGTAAATGTACGTTCAACCAAAATATTGTCCGTAGTCGGACTCGAACACTCAACATTCCCTTTAATAATGAGAGATTATATCATCTGAACTAACCCCTATTAGTCACATCGAGTTGTTAATCCCTTATTACTACTCTCAAAGTCGCACTAGTAAATGGCATGCAATGAAACTTGGATTGACAATGTGAGAATGCAATTTAGTCTCGAAAATAGTCACTTGGTGGAAAATAGTGCTAAAATTAGTCTACTTTTAGTTTTTTACTCTTAGGGTACGTAGGAAACAGAATTTCCTCCCGTCCTTTGATGCACAGGCACAGAGGAGTTTCACATAGTCCCTTGTTGGATTCCCCATGAAAACTACGTTGTTTTTTGTTTTGATGTGCAGGACAAGCACCGGATCCTCTATGAACAAAAGGGGATTTGGATTTCTTTGCGACGGACATATAATGGATAATTCTCTTTTAATTTTCATGTAGATGATGGACGTATAATGGGGTAATGTACTTTTAATTTTCATGTGACATCGTAACAAGAGCACATTATGTTTCATATCTTGAAAGGAACATAAACAACATATTGGGATGTATTAATGTCCCATAGCTAAGCAAAAGACAGAAAAAGGAGATTATATCATCTGAACTAATGCCTATTAGTCGTATGACTTGTTAATCCTTTTTTATACCTCTCAAAGTCGCTATGGCATGCAATGAAACACGGATTGACAATGTGGGAATGCAACTTCGAGTCTCGAAAATAGTCACCAGCTTGAAAATAGTGCTCAAATTAGTCTACTTTCAGTTTTTTCTCTCGGGGTACGTAGGAAACAGAATTCCCTCCCGTCCTTTGATGCACAGGCAAAAAGGAGTTTCACACGGTCTCGTGTTGGATTCCCCATGAAAATTACGTTTGTTGTTTTCATGTGCAGGACAAGCATCGAATCCTCTATGAACAGAAGGGGATTTGGATTTCCTGTGTCGACGGACATATAATGGATAGTTCTCTAATTTTCATGTAGATGATGGACATATAAATGGGGTAATGTACTTTTAATTTTCATGTGACATCGTAACAAGAGCACATTGTGTTTCATATCTTGAAAGGAACATAAACAACATATTGGGACATATTAATGTCCCATAGCTAAGCAAAAAGACAGAAAAAGGTTTAGATCATGATTTGACAAGTAATGGCCTAGTGGATGATTTATTTTGTGCTACTAACCCTTTCTATTTAGAATTTATAAAGAAGACAAGTAAAAGAACCCTAATCTTGACATAGCCAATAGTAGAAAATGACATAACTATTGCCCCATAAAAAATCTCCATTATGTGGGAACACTAGGATAAAAATGAGATATAATTAAATAAATATAAATTAATATCCACTGCCACTTCTTTTGTCTTATAATATATACCCTCTATTCCTGTCCATTAAAACCCTCCTTGATCTATCCCCCTTATTTAGTGGCACTCAAATTCCATTTCTTGAAACTTGAGTGGTAGTGCTACAATGGTCTTCCATAGTGAGGAAGAAGAAGGAAAAGAGATATACATGTCACCAAACAGCCCCTATGATGAATCCAAGACAAGTGACAATGATGAGAGAGATCAACAAACAGTTTTAGAAGATGAAAATTTGGGTGAGTGGTTGAGTTTGAGCCTCAATAGTGGGAATTTAAATGAGCCCTTCACTGCCTCCTCAGAGAGTGATGTGATCAAGTCGAAAAAGGTGTTCTCATGCAATTTTTGCATGAGGAAGTTCTTCAGCTCACAAGCTTTGGGTGGTCACCAAAATGCACACAAGAGGGAAAGAGGAGCTGCTAAAAGGTATGGTCAGTCTCAGAGGATGATGATGACAACAAACATGGGACCTCCATTCAATTCTCTCTCGTCGACATCGACGTTGCGGTCGATTGGTGTTCAGCCTCACTCACTGGTGCACAAACCAAGCAGAGAAGGGAGCAGTGTGGTGGCAAGATTTAGTGATGCCACCATAGGGTTTGGGGTGGCTTGGACACCCTTTATGGTTGAGGAAGCAATGGATCTGATTTGGCCAGGAAGCTTTCACATGGACAAAATGCCCAATCAAGCATCAGATAAACATAAGCTAGACTTAAATCTGCAGCTGTGATATATATATATGTATATCTTCTTGTTAAACTTGATTTGGACATGTACTTATTTGATGTTGTCTATGTTAACAGTGTCATGTGCTTCATGTATCAAATAATGAATCTAACTTGGGTCCAAGAGTTCCCCGTCATAGTGGTGATATTAAACACTTAAATCCTGACATGACCTTGAAAATTTGAAAAATTATGATATGAAGGTCACGGGTTCGTAACTGACAACAACCATTCCTTACCGAGATAAGGTTGTGTATGTCTGACCTTCCAAGACCTTGCAATGGCAGGGATCTCGTGCATTGAATTGACTTTTTTTAGAGGGTTCATCTATGTAGAAATGAACAAGTGTCTTGAGAAGTATTACAATTTCAAAGTGATTTTGATGAGTGGGACAACCAGAACAAGACGGAGGATGTGTTAGGGCCAAAAAAAAAAAAATTGGACTGGCTAATGGGGAATATAAGATTGGAACCATAACTGGTTAAAGTAGATCAATTTGTCCTAGTGGTTCTGTACCATATCAGATATGCTTCTCTTACTCCACAATGTTGGACTTGAAGGAAACTTTTTTCCAAGTTATAATTGTGAAGGCTAATTGAAGACTTTTGGAGAATTTAAGTGTCCTTTAATGTAATACTAAGTTGGGTTATAATTTGTTCTGTATACCTTAATGTCTATGTATTTGTGTGTATATATATATCACCCAAACATGTATGTATGTAGTCATAACAAATTCAACTGTAATCATCTATTAAGCAGATACATGTTGAGTTCGGATTTAATGTGTATGGAATGATCCAGCTTGAGAATTATTTGTCTTTCAAGTATGTCATGGCTTTCAATTATGCTGAACAAACCCTCATAATAAACAAAAGGGGGACTAGCACACGTGAACGAGACTTCTGTCATTGTTGGATTTGGAGTGTTAAATGTATGCAGTCTTATCTCCGCAGGCAGAGAGACTGTTTTCTTTTTTGAATCCATGATCTTTGAGTTATTAGGGTTAGCAAATTTAGACAACTCTAATCCTAGACCACAACAGTGCTACCAAACTCTATCGTGGAAGTAATGCCATGTGCCCTCTTTTACATCAATCAGGGTTGGAGCCAGCTTAGGCCCAAGGGGGTACGTGCCCCCCAGGCCCAAGCTGGCCCACTAAATTCTATATATATATATATATATATATATATATATATATGTAAGTATATAATTTATAAGATATTACTTTGTACACCTTTGAAATTTATTTTTCTTTCTGAAACACCCTTGGGATTGATTTTTTTTTTTTTTTAAAATTTTTTATATACATATAAGTATATAATTTGTAAATTATTACTTTGTGCCTCTGAAATTAGATCTTGACTCTGTCCCTCAAGAAAAACTTAATTGCATCGGTTGCATTAGTGATGTGGTATCACCAACTGATTAGATTTACTTACACGTAGTGATATGACTCACTAAAATAAAACACTTTACTTATATGACATGATGCAATTGATTCATAACACAAATAACGAAATACTAATGATGCAAAGAAGTCTCTCTCGCGTCCCACACTTCAATGATTCAGTGGTAGCCATTGTTCCCTGTATAATTTGACTAACATTAGTTGAGCAGAGATTGCAGGAAGCTTAGTAGATAATTATGGTTGCTGAGATTGATTAATCACCATGGCATATAGTGAGTTCAATGGAAGGGAAGGTCTTCATTCCAAAGACAAAGAATTAGTTCAACACTAAAAAAACATTTTATATAGTTGCTTACGCGTTGATTAACTATATACGCACAACAAAATCTTGTGCAAATACGACTGCACTAAGAACATGACAAAATTTCTGAATAAGCAATGCCATTGATACAACTGAGTTTTTGTATCTATGTGTGTGTGTTTTTGTGCGTATGTATACTTATAAATTTATGTATTGATGTATGCGATTTATTCTGAATTAATGCCATGTAAAAACTAACGGAAGTGATTGAATCTTTGACCTTTTACTTTAAAAAATAGAAGTTATGTCGGGTGACTCTGTTTACCAAGTATGCTGATCCGGACCCCTTAGGGTGGGGCACTTGGCTTGACACGTAATTAAGGAATGGATATGGCTATGTGTAACAAGGGTTATTCGTTCTACATCAGATCCGAATGAGAAAGTGAGAGGATATAAATGGGTAGGTATGCAGTATTATTCAACAACTGGAGCTTTTAGGTAAATAGGCAAGCGTCCACACGTTACAGTTGATATTAGAGTTAGACTCAATCCTTGATTCGGTGTCACGCCAAGTCCCTGACCCGAAAGGTGTCGGGGTGAGCACCCCGGGCAGGTAGGGTGGCCCGAGCCGCAATGAGAGCGTTGCGAGTTTGGGTGGGGGAAAATGTAATAAGGGTTATTTGTCCCACATCAGATTTGAATGGGAAAGTGATTGGGTATATGTAATACCCCTAAAATTAAAAAGGATATAATTGAAATTTTACTATTTATTTTAAGTGTTTTATGTGTTTATGTGGATATGTGTTTAGGGTTTAATTGATTAAATTATTTGTTCGTTCTTTATTTTATTTAATTGTTTAGTCTTTAATTGATTTAATTGTCATTTGGGTTGTTTTTGAATTGTTTTGTTGGTTAATTATTTTATGTAATTTAATTGGGATTTTAATTGATTGAATAATTGGTTTTTTTTATTTAATTAAATAGGTTAAATTATTAGCGTTTTGTCTCTTTACCATCACGTTTGAATAAAGCCGCCTTATTTAATTAAGCCGCCTTAGAGATGTAAGGAATTGTTGATTTCCGTCTCTACGATTAAAGTAGAATTAGGGTTAATATCTTTTCCTAAGCCTATAAATAAAACAATAAGGGTCTGCTTAGGGTTGTAAGCACAAACCTTATTCACGAATAGTGAAAATACAGAGAGTGAAACAGAGAGTTTAAGGGAAAAACTAAAGGAGAGGAAGGTAGGGTTTGAGCCAAGGATTGTACGCCGAACTAAGGAGGAAGCTTGAGAGCTGTTTGAGGGTTAGAACCGGAGCAGAGGAATCCTTGACGGCGGTCACGATCGCCGGAAAGTTTAGGAAGAAGACGACGTTGAAAGGTTTCAAACCGAAACCGAAAGGCAAGTTCTTCTACTTTCTCCTTCCCTTTGGCTCGTGTTCTGTGCACCTAGATAATCTCTAGGGTTTAATCAATCAGTATCTGGAATTTACATGTTCAATATATGTTATATTAATGATCTGGTTGTGTTGAAATCAAAACTGTTACAATTTCTACATGTCTCGTTTCAATTTTCAGTTTTTAAAGCATGTTACTCTGTCGTAACTTTAGACTTTGTAATTTATTTCATCTACTGCAAACGAACCATGGGGATGTCATAGGGATTTATATAGGATCCTTAGGTTCAGTGGTGAAGAGGAACAGAGGGTTTGGAAGAGAACTGAAATTTCTTAAATTAGTTTCAGTGTTGTTCTTCAAACATATTGGTTTAATGGCTTTGTTTAATCTCTGTAACTGATTTCAAATTGTTGTTCTAAAACCATTGGGAGTCTGTTTTGGTATTAATAAGACCTTAGGATAAGTTTTTTGAAACCAACTGAATGGTAGAAACATGCTGGAGAAGAAGCAGAAAGTCAGAACGGAGCAGAACGGGGACAGGGGCTCTCAAAGGAGGTGAGAGCCGGCTCCATGGATGTGGGAGCCGGCTCCCATACTCATTGAGCCGGCTCTACATTCTTAGAGCCGGCTCCAGGCTCAAAAAAAGAGCCTGCTCTTGGAATTTAGAGCAGGCTCTTTCAAATAGGGATTTTCTGAATTTTTTTTTTACGATCTATTTGCAACTGTTGGAGCATGGGAACTGTTTGGATGGGTCTGGGTTTACACAGAGGTATTAAGAAATTTATTTTGGGTGTAATTAAGACCTTAAGTTGATTAAAGTTGACCTCTAAGTCAATGGGACAACCAGTATAAAATTAAGGAATTTTCTATGCTGTTAACGGATGGAAGAAAAATAAATTGCTTAATTGAATTTCAGCAATTGTTATGGGATTTAGTGAGTTATTTAAACTTAATTTACATGCATGGTGAAGTATTTTAATAACCAATTGGACTTGTGGCATAGTGTATGGCTCCGTGCTAAAAGATGAAACAGAATACGAGTATACAATTTAGTACGCTGTTATCGGACGAAAGGAACTAAATTGCCTAGATTAGTTTAGCAATTAATTGGACTAAACTATGATTATAAAACTTATTTGTAATGCATGATAGAGTCATATATATATTAGATGTGATCTACGCACGCTTTGGATGCTAGTTGTTGAACTTTTAAACCGTTTCCTGCAAATACATGGTTTAACTCTTGGATTTAAATTGCTGAAACTATAAATAGTCTCCTGCAAGTATTTGGGACGGTTCTGAATTGTAAATTGCTAAACTGTTAATTATGTGTTGTAATTTACATGGGTTGGATGTTAATTGTGGAATCTTATATATTATTCTACAGTTAATTGGATTATGGTTTTGAACTGTAATTGTTGTGGCATTGTATAAACTATTCTGCAATGATATGGACTGTAAATTACTTGCTTATTATTTATATGTTGTAATTTACATGGATATGGAGGATCGTATACACCGGTATGGGACGGTGACATACTAGGTATGGTTTAGCTCAAAACGCTCATTCCTACCTTATGGATTTTAATTGGTGAACAGTTCTACCTGTTCAATCAATTATATGGATTTTGTGGATTGTATGCACCGGTATGGGACGGTGACATACTAGGGACAGACTGACTCAAAATAACTCAGTCCTACCTATTTTGGATTAAGGGTTCGAATTATAAAAACATAATTCTCCTTATATTTAAGTCTGTGCAGCTAAATAAGCTGAACGATTTATTGGATTTCCTATGGATGGATATGAATGGATTTTAAATATATGTTTATGGTACCACGAGATGAGCTTGAGTCTCAGACTCGTTGGTTAGGGTGAGTATATGCAGTGGATGCGTAGCTGGCTATAGTAAGTTGAGGTGTACCCTGTTAGGTCTAGGTACTCATGCCCACCTTTGGGTGCGTTTTCGTATGTTGCCTTCTATTCAGGTTGAGAC